AAGTACGTCTCTCTCTCTCTCTCTCTCTCTCTCTCTCTCTCTCTCTCTCTCTCTCTCTCGTCTGTCATTTGGATGTCCTCTTCCCATCGGTATCATCTCTTTCGGTGCAGATACCTCAAGTTGCGACCTGGAATCTCGTCTTGGCATACCTGTCGATCCTCTGCTGTGTGTACTGGAAGCATAAGGGAAGGCCAGTGGCACTCCAAGGCTGGCCGGAAATCAACATTGCCAAGCCAGGCGCGCAGGTGAACACTCTTGCCATGCCTTGCACGTGCGAAGATTAGCAAACAAGCCCTGTATACATTGAGGTAAGGGAGACTTACCATGACCATTAAATCCAGCACAGATCCATTGTCCTTCGAGTCCTTCCACGGACCCGACCAATGGCACGTTATCTGGAGTCATGCCCAAGATTCCTGTCCAAGACTGATCAAATCCCTCACCAGGGCGAGATTGGCCGTGCTGGCCATCTGGGAAAAGCATTGAAAATTCCTTCTTGCTGTTTTCCTCATACTTCAGACAATGGTTACTATCATCAAACGTAGTCATGGATGCAACCAAATTTGCGTTCGAGTCGGCATCCGACCTAGTCGAGGAGCCCCCGAGAATCACCGTCCCGCTTCCCTTGACCTGGTTCACGGAAAAGTAATGATGAAGGCCGTACCTCAGAGACATTGTGAGCCCAAGGACATTGGAGCCCGCGCCAGATGCATTCGGCACAAAGGCATGGACTTGCGATCTCCTCGGCGTGACAAAATGAGCCAAATGGGGCAGCAGATAGGCTGAGTATGCATTCGCGCAGTGAATGACCGTCTCGGCAGCCAACACGCCCCTTGGGGTATGAATGTCCCATCGCAGGCCAGAGCTGCCCGGGTCGACGTGGGGTTTGACCGCGGTCGCTGCACAATACGTCCAAAGTTGTGCTCCCTGGTTGATCACGTCGTCTAGCACCCACTGAGTCAGTTTGGCAGGGTGGACCGACCCAGCAGGCCATTCGTATGCGCAAATGACATCTGGGACTCTAGTCTTTACTTTTGCGTCTTCGGCATCGTGGAACTTGATGTGGGATGTGTCGCCTCCGACCTGTTTGTATGCTGCCAGACTTTTCTCCTGGTGATTGACAAACTCTTGTGACAAGCAGACGTCGATTGTTGTAGTGTCTTGGAAATCGCAGTCAATGTGATTCGAGGTTATGAAAGACTTGGCTTGCTCGAGAACGATCCTCTCGTTTTCAATGATTTTGCGGGCTTCTTCGGGGCCGTGTATAGCGGCATACACAGGGAAGCCCCGGAAAGCATCTATGAAAGGGTGTTCAAGTCAGGAAACGAATGTTTGTAGTACCACAAGAAAGGTGGCAGAGGCGTTGGTCATCGTACCTGGTCGTATGTGCCCAGCATTCCTTCCGCTGGCCCCCGATACAGCTTCTCTGGCTTCGAGAATCAGTATCTCGTCACCCTTCACTCCGTCCTTGATCAGATTCCAGGCTACTAAAGCCCCAGAAATGCCGGAGCCAATAATGACATATTTGCTGGATGGAGGAACGTCAGTTTGGCGATTCCTATCCAAGTGCGGGTATGCACGCGTTGTTCGATGCCAATAAGACAGGCTTGGGTGGGAAACGGGTAGTGATGGCTCCATGCTGGCTAATCAAGGCATGAAGAGTAAAGTAGAATGGATTTTTGGTTTCGCTATCCATTCAAGAGAAATCTTGAACTTTAATACTCAATGAAAGAGCCAAGGAACCAATGGGCAATTATTTCACCACTCTCAACTATGGCTGTCATCCGACCGTCTGTATTCATGCGGCGCCAGGCTGCCCCGGGAAGACCACCCTCGGCGGCGTGCTTCCACTGACATCTGCGGGACCGGACATGATAGGTCATCGCCTAGTATGGGCAGCAAGACAGCCAGAGATCCAAGCCCTGGAGAATTGCTGGAGGTTGCGGCCTGCTTCCGGGTTCCAGTGGATTAGCGGGAGAAATTTGCGGACGTCGCCGCATTGGTTTGCGGCCCCACTTCCGCTTGAGCGGGCACAGCGCCGAGCGAGTGAATACAGGCACGCGAAACTGACTTTCGGGAGTTGTTCCACGGCTATTACTATCATGCGAAAGCGTCGGTATCATGAAGCATAGAATCGAGAATCTGAAATTCAGAGAGGGAGAGAGAGAGAGAAGGCGGCATTGGTTACAGAATCCTGCTGAATCTATCTTCATGAAGACTTGGCGTGTCCGACTTGTAGTCGCCAACAACAGATATAAATGATGTGGGCCCCGCCCGGCTCTGAGAAGACGAGACAGAGATGTTGCGGTGCATCCATCACATACATGTAGTCTGAATCGTCTCAACTATTTTCTTCCAAAACGGCAATTGACAAGTCGACAATGTTCACGCAAGCCGAATCAAGGTCGCGTTGCGAAAAGGATCTGGTGCTGCGACTCGACATATTCGTGATACTTTTTGGCTGTACCAGGCGGATCATCAGCAGCGCCCTCAGTGCACCAATCGAAGAAGACTTGCATTCCTACGTAAACGAGTTCGACTATTTTACAAACTATATTCAGGCGGCGTATTGCTTTGCAATGATTCCCGGCCAGATCATCATGGCTCATGTAGGGCCCAACTACTGGTTGAGTGGCCTCGAGATTGCAAGTGGTGTCATTACGGGGTTCATGGCTGTGACCACAAGCGCGCACCAGATTTGTGTTCTCAAAGTCCTTATAGGATTGTGCGAGTACGGCGCTTGGTTTGGTATGGTGACGCTGTTGATGCATTGGTACGTAAGGAGCTGAATCACCTTGCGTGGGAACTAAGCTACAATTGACTGACGCGTGATATCTGCTTCAGGTATACCCCCGAGGAGCTGGCTATGCGACTGGCAATCTATCACTTATGCCAAGCATTTGACGGTGTGGTGTCCGAGACTGTGCAGGCGGCATTGATTAATGCCCTAGACGGCCTGCATGGCATTTCGGGCTGGCGCTGGCTCTTCAGTGCTTAGGCCCTATTGGCGGTGCTCATGGGTTCAATTGGGGTCTTCATCATCCCGAACTACCCAGACAAACACAATCCGAGGGTTTTCTGGGCCAGGGAAGCCCATGACGAGCTGGCATTGCAGAGACTGGTGCGCCGCAGGTGGACAGAATGGACCGAGATCATCATCGAGACGACAAGTGTGCCTGCTGCCGTTGCGAGGACCGCTTCTTATCGGTTGACGGCGGTATAGGACCCTGAAAAAATTGACTCCATTCATGAATAAATCTCAATCAACAAGCACTGTGAAAAGTTTTCTTCAACGATGCGCATACTTGATATGCATTGTGCGTGAATATGGTCGGTGGCAGGTTTGTAATAACCATCGTGTTCACTATAAGGATCAGGTAGTTGCACTGCGTCGCGTTACAGCTGTTCACTGAGACTTGCACCTAAATAAAGATGGCGTCGAATGAACTTGATCCTTGGCGTGGGCATCTGCATTCATGAGACTGCGGGGGAGATTCAGCTGAAGCAAATGCGAAGTTCCCCATCAGATCCCTGGCTTTTCTTTCCGAATTTTCCAGTCAAAGAAATGTGTCTTTGTAAAAACAAATTTCAATTCACCGAAAGTATTCTCTAGTCAACAGCACAGACCCTCCCATAGTGACAAATGTGTCGGCGGAGAGATCGCAAGCACGAGACCGCCATAAGACATGTCAAGTCTTAGTGAGGGGCCGCCATTGCAGCAGCTTACAGCGCTCTCGCGGTCCAATATCACGGCCTGTAACCGTTGTCGGCAAAAGAAGCGGCGCTGTGATCAAAAGCTACCGGTGCGAACTCATTTCCACTCTGTCGCGTTCAGGCCTCGCGAACGATATCATGGCTAATTCTTCATGGCGATCAGGCCTGTACTCTGTGCCAAACTGCTGGTGTTGAGTGCGTCAATTTTGATTCTGTAGCCAACAAACAAGTGTCAAGAAGGTGTGTTTTCCCTTGAACATTCACCAGTGAGAGGGAATCAAACTCAAGCACGACTTACTGATATCCAACCTAGTCACTTGCTAACCTTGGAGGAACGTGTCACGCAACAACAACTTCACTTGGAGAGGCTACAATTTCTCTTGGAGAAGAACAACATTCCGCATGACAATCAGACATTGATCTCAGAAACAGGCCGAGAAGTCTCAAGACAGATTAGAGCCCAAGCTTCGGTGCATCCTCCTCAAGACACGCCTTTGGGAGATGCTGGCCCGGATGCTGGGCACCCTGGGCCATATGCCGCAGCAACTCAGGCCATGCTCGACAGGATTCTAGATCTTACCCAACGCCGTGCTGTGGAGGAACCGCCATTTTCTCAGATTCTCTTGAGACGATTCATCAGCGCCAAGAGCAGTCCGCAGGTGGCAAGTCCCATCTCGCCAGAATCAATCTTGACCAGAAAGCGTCTTCTGCCCGACCTGATGCATGACTTGGTTACCACGAAAGTTTCACTGCCTAGTAGCAGAGAAGCAGCTGATAGTCTGGCTGATGCCTACTTTCAATTCGCCAATACAGGCCTGCCCTTGCTTCACGAAACGTCCTTTCGACAAAAACTAGATTTCGTCTACGCATCACCAGAGCTCGTTGACTTGGGGAGCGAGCACTGCGATAATGATTTCAAGTTGGCCGTCTTCTTTGTATTTGCAGTGTTTGCCGTGGCCATTGTCATTAGGCAAAAACGAGACCCCTTTGGCATTCCAATTACTTTGGCTGATCGCTATCACAAAATGGCGCTTCAGTTCTTGGACGACGCAGTTGTGCCCAATGACTACATCGGTGTACAGGCGCTTCTTCTCATTGCCATGTACTCATATCATCATCCTACGACATGGGATGTGTGGAAGCCAGTCGGGGCAGCGCTACGCCTAGCGATTGAGCTGGGCCTTCACAAGGACCAAGAGACAACAGAATTCGACGCATTGATCCTCGACACCAAGAGGCGCGTGTTTTGGGTTGCGTATGCAATGGACAGAAGCGTTGCAATCGCCATAAACATGCCGCTGGGTATATCGGATGGATCCATAACGACCAAGGTATATAATGCTCCCCTTCAGACGTGCTGCTGCTTGGATGGAAATGTTGTCTCTGTTTACTGAAGCCATTGTCAGTTTCCTAATGAGGTGGACGACGAATTCATAAAGCACAGCGGAATCAATGCCCCCGAAGACGGCCGATTCTGGAGCAAAAGCCTCAGCATTCACCTGTTCCGCTATCGCCAATTACAGTCAGAAATTCAAAACATCTTGTGCGAGAAGCCATGGCCGGTCAATTCAACCCTTGATTTGGACCGTTGGCAGCACCAAATGCACGCCCGCTTGTGGGCGTGGTACAAGAAATGCCCTGGTGGCAGCAACCTGAACGATGATCAACGGATCAATCTTGAAAACTTCGAATTGTCACTATATCGGGCACTATTGTTTCTTTACAGTCCCTCGCCCAATATCTCAGAGCCGTCAGATGCGGCCCTCGTCGCACTTTCCGAGGTCGCAACCAACCTGGTTCAGATATACTCGCGATCCTTTCGCGAATACAAACTAACGATTCTGTGGCAAGCCGTGGAGAACCTGAGCTCCGCAGGGACAAGTCTCCTCTACAGCTATACACACTCCGCTTCAGTACGTCAGCGAGTTGCGATCAAGAGACTCGAATCTCTGGTACATACATGCTCTTCTGTGCTATGGGGCATGGTGGAGCATTTTCCAGCGTTCAAGGGCAAGCGTGACGCCTTTGATATCTTGGCGTCTGCCACCATGGCAGATATCACTGCTAACGCCGAGAAGGAGAATTCATCATTCGGATGGCCACGGGACGGAAATCAAGACATGTTTGGTGGCAGAGATGACGTTGGTATGTTTATGGATGATGAATATCTTGAGAATGGGTTTTTTGAGATGCGTGCAGAAGAGTTTCATGACCGCCCTACACCATTTTCAACTTCCGAGCAGCAACGAATGATATGAGATGCTCATGTGCGGAGTGGCACGCATGACAGGGCCTGACGAATACTCGAAAGTGGCTGTTAGAGCAAAGATGCTCTTGAAAAATCCAATTGATAAGACCAATCATACCCCATATTGTTTTCTTCACTGGACATATTTGTCTAGAAACCTGGCTTCCTTGCATCTAGTGGTCAACCCTGTCGAAGTTCATGCCGCTAACTCTAGCAGGGGAAATAGTTCGGTGCCGTTTTTTTGTGCCTGACCTCCCGGTAGATTGGCCGAAATGTTCCTGCTCGAAGGCGATAGCATCTTCCACATCGTCGCGTGCTTTTCTTTGTCGTATCGAAGTCTGAAGGGATTGCCTTGCAGATTCCTGACGGCCTTGGACTTGAGTATCGTTGCGTGTCCTCGTATTACGAGGCCTCGCAAAGCCATGGTACAGTGAATCATCACACGCACTATCAGCGTATCGGGATCCACCGTACACAGCAAGTTGAGCTCTTCGTTGCTTCTCATAATCAAAATGCGTTGATCCATTTTCTTCATTTAACTTCATAAGTGCTTGGACAGAGAGCGGCTGCACCCCAGATAGCGGCTGAACTGAACCGTCAGACGATCCAGACGTGCTCTCAGCGTATCGGGATCCGTCATACACGGCACAAGGACCTCTTCTTCGTGGGCTCACATCAAGAGAATCCGCTGAACCATATGCGCGATTGAGCCTTTGCAGCGCTTGGGTAGAGAGCGGCTGCGGGGGGCTTATGTGCTTCAAAGTCGAGCGCCAAAGACTTTCAGAGAATAGCTGATACCGCAGAGGCTCCGAAGAATCTGGATTCATCATGTCGCCCCGTTCATAGAGTGCGTCTCTTATTGCCGTGTGCGTCACTTCTCTGAGCACGTTCTTTTGCTTCAATGCGTCCACGAACGACCGTATGGTTGCATCGAGCCATTCCGGACAACTGCAAGAGCCAAATAGTTTTGAGCAATATAGACAATACTCTGTGTAGTGCCGTGATTTACGCGAACTGCCGTCGATTGTTGATCCAAGTTCTTTTTCGTTCAGGCACCCCAAGCATCGAATAGAGTTCTTCCAGATCGGCAAGGGTCCCATCGTCACGTGAAAAGCTAATGGGTGACTGTGGCCCTCGTAACACTTCCAGGTGTCATCTTGGGCCTTGTACTGGAGCCGTTCAAGGAGGTCCCAGGCACGGTTCACTTCGGGGCTCAGGATTAGTCCTATCGATCTGCGGTCAACGTCCCACCGCTTGAAATATCGTGGAGGCATATATTTTGGAGACACCAAGGCGAGGGCAATATGCTCGAGTAGGCATTCGTCGCATGGCCCGCCTGCAGATACTCTCTTCCATGCCTGACCTTTAGGCTGAGGAAAGGCTCCACAATCGGCGCAACTGCCCTTAGGAAAGGGTCCAAGTTCAATTATCCTGCATCTATGTATGTCTCTGTGTCGACTTAGTGATGAAAAAGATATTTGACTCCTGTGGAATTTGCTTACCTCGATTGAAATCGGTCTTCACCTTCCAGGTCGGATGATTCACTTATCGCGCCGCCCGACCTGACGTCAGTGTCGTCAACCTCTCCGTCCATGTCTGTGTCCGTCCATTCATTGGAACTGTTGCCGGATGATTCTTCTACGAAGATAATCGTTTCTGGCAGCGAGCCATCAAGGTCATATTCCATGTCTTGTGTAGCATCCTCGGACACGCCGGTGAAGGGGCCGTTGTTGTCATCAACTTCAAATCGACGTAACGTCTCCATCTCAACCGTGACTTGTGGGCTTGATGTCGCGGGATCGGCTTCGAATTCAGATGTTTCCATAGTTTCAAGTACAAATGGTGCATCGAGTGGAAGATTTGGGCGAAGCTCCCTATCCTCAGGAACTTCGTCGATGGAGGGTTTCTGATATTTGATTCGTTGAATTGCTTCGGGAGTAAAGATTGTCGTTGTGACATTCGTGTCATTGCTCCCAATATCGTTGTCATTCTCAGTAACAGACACTTCCGTCAACTGATTTGAAATTTTCGTAATATCCCCGGAAGATGGTTTCAATCGTATTGTAGAACTACCGCCGCTGTCCATACTCCAATCCTTGGATCCCATAGAGTCTGTTTGTGGATTTGTCTCGACCAGAAGCGGACTGTCTATAGTTTCGATGTCCGACAAAATTACATTGCTCGTCAAGCTGTTCTGGGTATCGCCGACGATCCATATATGACGAGCCGCCGAAGATGCAGATAAACGGTCTTTGGGGTTTGGCTTCATCAACTTCAAAATGAAATCTTGAGCCTCTTTTGAAGTTTGATTACTCTCTAGTGCATGTGTTGGGAACGCTGAGATGCCAGTGGCGAACCTGAAAAGCTCTGCGAGATTTTGGAAAGCAGTCGCATTCGTGAGGATCCTGTAGACAACAGCACCCATGGACCACATGTCGACAGAAAATGTATATGATTTGTCAGGAAGGAGCTCAAGCACTTCTGGGGCAACGAAACCGAAAGTGCCTCGCTGCATGGTATGGAGCGTAGTGACATCTTGCTGGCGTCGCTTGCTCACCCCAAAGTCTGTGATTTTGACAAACCAGTCCGGATTCTTGCTGACGACCATGATGTTCTTGGTTTGATATTAGATGCATTCTCCTTCTGTTTGGATGGATATCTGTACGTACCCCTGGTTTGAGATCCCGATGCACAAAGCCATTGTCGTGCATAAAAGTTAATCCTTCCAAAACTTGCAACGTGATCTGTCTTGCCTCGATATCATCCAGTGGTCCCTGGAGATGACTCTGCAAGTCACCACTTGCAAGATACTCCATTGATATAAAGATGGAATCTTCAAGCTCGAACCAGCCGTGGGACTGTACAAAGCAGTGGGAATACTTGCGAAGTTAGTATGATCATATTAGAGCTTGGACGCTATATGGAGGTCGTTTACTTTCTGATGCGAAAACTTCGCAACCGCTTCCAGCTCACGCATATAATCCAGTTCCTCGCCTGGAACCACGGACTTTTTAATCTCTTTTACAGCCCGAAGCTTTTGCGAGCTTCCAATCTCGCACTGTTCCAGATATACGCAGCCGTACGCGCCCCGCCCGACAAACTTTTGGCGAACCCATGTTTCTTCACGACGAATCCGGCGCTGCTTTGCAGAAGGGCCGGTGTCGTAAAATACATGTCGCAAGCAAGAACCCAACCACTCGGTCTCGATCTTGGAGTCGCGCACCAGATCAGAAACCAGACTATGACCAGCCATGGCTTGCGCTTACGGGTGGTCGCGACGGCGGCGCATGTTGCGGGGTCTTCGGCAACGTCAGAGAGGGCGTCGATTGATATTTTGGGGCGCGAGTTGTGGTCTCGTAGTTTGCCACGTTGTTTGTGGTATAGAAGCTATCGATGATTGATGATACTTTGAATCCGACGACCGCTAGAACAAAATTGTGTCGCCGAGAAGCAAGAATCCAAGAGTTGAGTGGCTTATTTCAGCTTGCGAATGGCGGAGGAGCGCCCACATGCGGGTTAGATACCAAGTCGGTTAGCATCTGCATGCACACAGCCCCTCCCATATCTAGGACGCCTGCACCTGTCCCTCCAATGATTTCATGGTCACCTGATGTGTTCTCGCGAGGCTGGCGCTTCAAGCATTAATAGTTCTTTGCAAAAGGATGAGAGATTGAATTCCCGTTGCTCCGGATCTACCGTGTGTTGCATAGCGATAAAATGTCTGCAGAACTGATCCTAGCAGTGGTAGCAGGCGCAGACCTGTGTTTGAAGTAAGTTGGAGTTTCCTCCATATGAACCGAATACTGACTGTCCGAGAGATACGGATCAAAGCTCATCCGGGCGTACAAGGATTTCCAGAATGCAAACAATATCGTCGCGGAGAAAATACTCATTGTGGAAAGTATCTGGAGTCGGACGTCGCTTCACATCGAATTTGTGAAGCGAGTTGCAAATACAATGGGTCACGAACATTGCTCAATTCACCTCGAAGTGTTCGCAATGCTCCAGAGCAAGCAAGAAAAGGCAATTGCGAAAATCGAATCACTCTTGAAATCGCCATCTCGTGGCGGTGGCGTCAACAAATGGCGAGTGCCGCCTCTTCGCGCCTCCCTTGACAACACTATTCACGAGCTCGGTGAATGGCAGCGTCTCTTTGATCCGACGTGGTACCTGATACTGAGAATAGCCAACAAGTCCATTGATGAGGCGCTTTCATTCGACAAGAGGGAGCTCGAGTCCGTCGATAACGAGTCGACTATCTCGAGTAGCTCGAGTAAATCCTCGAGTTCGAGCAAAACACTTGTCTCGGCAGGAAACTTGCGAAAAGCTTTGGCATTCGATTCTGCCTCGGATATCCACGTAACTCTATCAGATAACAAACTTGATTGGGACCAAACAGAGACTGTTCCATACTCAACGACCAAAATTGTTCATCGAATCAAGTCACCCAAGCGTTATATCGTCAATACGATTGACTGCTCATCCGACATTGACCTCAATCAAGTCAGAACTGATGCAGAATCTCTGGCGAGGAAGCTTAGTCGAGTCGAGTCGGATGAATTTGGCCTTTTGGCTGCGCGTGGCCTTGTCAAACGGAAGCGCGAAGGTACTACTCAAATCCAATCGATCAACCTAGTCTTTAGCCTGCCGGCAGATGCGCGCGAGCCTAGAAGCCTTCGACAAGAGCTGATGAAGCCGCAAACATTCAGCCTTTCAAAGATTCTGGATCTGGCTCGACGTCTTGCTCAAGCAATCAGCTTCATCCACACTTGCGATTTCGTGCACAAGAACATTCGACCCGAGACGATCATCTCTTTTGGAGATTTCTCTTTGGATGATCAAGCCGCAGGCAAGACTTACCTGCTGGGGTTCGACTCCTTTCGCAATATCAACTTCCACACTCTGCGAAAGGGCGATGCTGCATTGGAGAGAGACTTGTACAGGCATCCCTCTCGGCAAGGTCTGAGCGCGCACAACAAATATGTCATGCAACACGACGTCTACAGCCTCGGCGTCTGCCTCCTGGAGATTGGCCTGTGGACCAGCTTTGTGGAGTATGAGCACGTTGAAGAGGGGGACGCTAGCAATGTTGAACCCAAGCCCAAGCCATCCGCAGCTTTGGGGATGGAGACTGGAGACTTTGAGCCAAGGATCATTGAAGCAACGAATTCGTATGACCACATAAAGGATCACTTGGTTGCTCTGGCCAGGTCAAAACTTCCACTTCGCATGGGCGACAAATACACATCTGTTGTGGTCACATGCTTGACCTGCTTGGATGAGGGGAACGAAGACTTTGGCGACGACAAAGATATGCAAGATGAGGATGGAATTCTGGTTGGAGTAAGGTTTATAGAAAAGGTCCTTTTTGGTCTGAGCGATATTTCTTTCTAGGACTTTAAATGGACAAATTAGAGTTTTCAGTTGGAGACAGAGTAGTTGTGACATCTATGGATGTCGTATTCCACTTGGGGCGTACCAGGACCAGACACAGCGGTTCGGCCCGCTAGAGCTCGCGCTATTGGGTTGAGACCATTGATGATGGTGAATCAATTATTCACGGAGCGTATTTCGTAATTGCCTCGATCAGAATATCAACATTGTTGGACTTGCAACCGCTAGGATGTGAGTGCCATGCAACATCAGAATACGACAGGCTTATCTTCACTGTTGGGTTTCTACCTTGGAGTGTTATAAATATGACAGGCCGATTGTTGATCCTACCAAGAATCCTCGTGGAGCTCATGAGCGCAATTCATGGACGATCAAGTGAATAATATGTCTGGACTCGGCCATTTATGGATACACAATTTGTGTGATTGGCAATGGCAGGCCAGGAAGCTTGCATTCATGCAATCAAGCGGCACTGCGGTGGGAGAGGCTCTGTATTGATTCCGTGGGCCGAAACTATTGGACCCATAAGGTAAGGTTAAGAAGTTATATAACGGGGCCCGACTCTCAGCCGACGCTCGCTGTGGAGTGTCAGACTAGGACTATTTCCTCCATCCCCGTCTTCCAAGGTTGCTATGCAGACTCTGATGTCCAATGAAATGGTTTCCATATCGACGCCAATGGATATCTCTACGCTGGGATAAATATGGATTTTATCGAGCAACGAGGGTACTCCTGCAAGGTCAGCTTGAAGTAATGTCAAAACGTTGTGAAAAGGTTACAGGCAGGACAAGGAGAGACTCAAGGGCAAAATCTTGTACTTTCGTGCAGTGGCCAGTGAGCATAACGGGACAGCGCAGTAAACCCCTGCTGACTCCATAGCCAGGGCCATGGTAGTGAGATCTTGGCAGGCCTAATTTAGGCCCCTGATGGCACGATTGGTGCTGGAACAAACGAGTCCTGCAGGAAAGCGTGGCATCAGCCTGGACAACTTAAGTCAGCGCCCTGTCACTTTGGTGGGTGGCGAGCATCGCATTCTCAGCTTATTGCAATTGCAATGTTCTCCTTAAAAAGGAAGGAAATAAGAAAGGACCGTCTAGTTCCCAATTAATGTAGAAATTTTCCACGTTACATAGCTGGTAAACCCAGCGGCTACACGCACAAACAACATGGCTCACGAGTACGACACCAGCTATAGCTACTCGACGCTTCAGGTGGTGCCGGGCACCGAACCTCAGATCGCCCCGGACCGTTCGCTGCCGCAAGCGATTCCAGCAAGCCCAGAACCCGAAGAGTATCACACCGCCGACAAATATACCTATGTCCATGAATATGATCAGACGAGTGCGACAGCAATAGCAGCGCCGACCAGTGCGGCGGCGGCCGCTACACCAACCAAGAAGCGTCAAATATGCGGCTGGGGTGTATCGCCCAAGATTTTCTGGGCCCTCATCTATGGCGCTGTAATACTTGTGCTGGCGGGCGTCGGCGGGGGCATTGGCGCAGCGATGTCAAACCACAACTCCAGCGAACGCGCAGCCGCTGATAGCGCTGGTACTGCTACCACGGGCAGCGCAGCCACCTCGACGCGAAAGGCGACAACACCGGCCCAAACCGCCGTGACGTACGGGTCACGAACGCTTTGGCGCGACTGCCCAGCTGCCAACATGACGGTATACACGCCGTCGGACACGGATCAGCAATTCCGCAAGCTTTGCAGCAACCTGTTTATAGGCATAACGGGCCAAGCGGTCAACGATCCTTACGAGAGCTTGAATGACTGCATCGACGCATGCGCCGCCTTCAACCAAGACAACGAGTCCGCCATCAAGAGCGGCAAGAAAAACCCCTGTAGCTCCGTCTGCTGGCGGAATACATGGAATACAGACTACCCGGGCCAGTGTTTTGGGTTTACCATGGTCAACACGACAGACGGGCAATTCAACGTCAGCACGAAATCGAAAGATCACGAATGCGACTCTGCGGCGTGGATCAACATTGACGTCTGGAACGCGACCGTGGGATAGAGAACCCCTAGACATGAGACTTGACACCAATAAATTCAACAAACAAATACAGTAGAAATAATACGCAATTATCCAAGCACGAGACGACCTCGATTCTCACAAGGGGTAAATTGAACCAAGATCATCTTGTGCAAGACTTCTAAATTAATTACTATGCAGCGAGACCGAAAGTGGTTCATCGAATCTTACACAACACACCTCAGGCTTATGAACAAACTGTGCTGGTGTCGGTGACCAGTGTATCATAAACCTTCCAATCAATGATGCGGACCGCAAACCCAGACTGGGGAGTATATACCAATCTTACAAGATTGGCACTCGTCGCTGTCCATGACGCATGAGTGATGCCATTGGCTAGTGCTGCATCGTACGCTGGGCTGGTGACTTCTACCCATGCATCATTGATGTACGCCTCGATGCGGTAGTCGAGAGGGACCGCAATCGCCTGGTCCGAAGCGTCAAGGAAGGCAATCTCTGAGCTGGCCACGGTCGTCGCGGTACCGAAATCAATCTGGAACCAATGTTCCGTGGCTCCGTCGCCCACCGGGGATTGGTAGCCGTGCGCAACGTCGTAAGTGGACTCTGTAAAGAACCAGAGGCGTCCATCAATCGTGTCGTGGATCTTGTTGGTATCTGCGCCATCCACATCGACGCTGCCGACGGGGTAGGATCCATCGTTTTGAGCTTGGATGGACACGGGTGCAGTTCGTGGCCATGTGGGCGGGCTCAAGCGACCAACGTTGACGGTCAGACGGGTCAAGGTCGAAGAAGAAGCTACTTGGACATTGTTTACTTCGATGATGAGACCCTGCGTCCCATACTTTTCACCAGTACTGTCCCACTGGACAGAGACGTCGTTGCCGTGGTACAAGACATTCTCGACCCTAAAGTACGTGATGTCCTCACTTGCGAGAGGGTTGACCTCGAGAACGTCATCTCCACGAGCGCGAATGCCAACAAATCCGCTCAGGACCTGGTCGATGAAACCTGAGTGAAAGTAGTGAGGCGAACGTGAAAGACCAACGATGGGCGCACCAGTCTCAGCGTTGTAATCCTCTTCAAGGACGAGAGTGTAGTCTCTGTTGGGATTGTAATGAATGATCGCGTAGGATCGCAGATAGTTGGTGTAGTGCCATTTTGTTATTACAGAGGCACCCGCGGTATTGTTGTAGTGATCAAGCAAATTGGCTAGTGCCGTTAGGACTTGGGTTGTCTGATAAGGCCAAGAAGGACCGTTCCATTGACATTCTGGCTGCCCGGTCGAGGAGTCGTAACGATATTGAACCATGTAATACTCGTAGCTTGGCTCAACCGTTCTGAGGCCACTTTGCCCCAAAAGGAGATTTTCATCAAGAATGTGAGAGAAAGCATTCGCATAAGTGGCATTGTCATCGGGTAAATCGTGTGTCCAAGGTGTATATCCAACGAGTTCTCGCCCGCGAATCGGGTCCCAATATGTGGCACAATCCGTTGTTGCATAGTATCTGTCGATAAAGTGCTCAAAGGTCGAGTTCCACAGATTGTCCTGCACCAGGTCCTTGAGAGTAGCTGCACGCGCATTATACGCCTCGGCAACCGACGTGTCACCTACCAAGGCGGCCACATTGGCGATAGCCAGAGCATTGGCATATTGATACTTTGTAATATCTTGTCAGCCTTTATTTGATCAATGAATTAAGGGCGAAAGACTTACGCTGTTAATGCTAGGCCGGAAAGATTCTCCGTACTGAAATCCGTCTACTCCACAGCTGGCATCGATGCTTGCAATGGTATACTCGGTCGCATCTTGAATCGGGGCGATCCAAAACATTTGCTTGGACGTATCGTAGTGATCACTCTCCCACTCGAGGTACACAGTCTGCATAGAGTCCAAATAGCCAGTCACGTCGTCGACAACGCCATCCACGAGGTAGCCCTGCCAAACAGCCGTCGCAATGGCCTCGGAGAACCCCCGCGGGTTCGCTTGCGAACCGTACATGAAGGTTGCATAACTCTCCTTGAAGATGCGATCGCGATTCCAGCGGCCCTCAAGCAGATGGAATGCCGTGGCGTCACTCAGTGATCCCCACGGTGCGACCTGCCAGGACACATCGTCGAGGAACTCGGTGGAGATGAAGCCATCTGCGCCAATATCGCGTTGATGAGCGCGATATATTTTCTGGCGGTAATAGTACACATCAGTGATGGTCTGGTCGCTGGTCTCGAAAAACGGAATGCGATCAATGTACCACGGATAGTCGTTTCCAAAGTACTGCGTGGCAAGAGCACATGTGTCCAGGGCCGCCGCGGCAACGTGGACTAGGCCAAAGGTCGCAAGGACGCTGTGGAGTGTCGCAGGCATGACTTGAACTGTTTACTCGGGATTGTTGACAGAGAGCTCTGTCTGCCTATAACGACTCAGAAACTTCCACATAGACATGACAAGTCATGGCGAATATATAGTCTATGTAAACATGTCTATAGTGGAGCTTGAGCAGAGTTCCTGTCCAAGCTCTTGCTATAGCTCGCAGTCAACACGAAAAGAAGGACGCGTCACAAGCGCCTTGCTATAGGCGCCCCGTGCTGATTGGAGCGCAAGCTGATGAGGTGACAGACTATATAAAAGCAAAAGCGGGAAAGACAAGGGGAAAAGCTGGGAAAGCTGGAGACGGAAAGGCGGGGACCCCACAGTTCTCAGCATTTTTGCTTTGAGTTTCTTCATCACGAATCATGTACCGAGATTGCTGCCAAGATCATCCCACCGGGGTAGCATTCAGGTATGTCCACTCACTGTGTAACACCTCGGCATTGGGTTCAGCCAAGTGCGCCTGCTACGGATAATTTAGTTGCGCGTACTCTCAATCGAGTTTTACATGACCACCAAAGTGTTCGCTCAATATGACTTCATCGATACACAGAAAGGTCAAGAGCTGTTAAACGAAGTACAAGCACACTCATCTACACCACGTCGCATTAAAGTGAATCCATACTCCGACACCTCGTTTCAAAAATTTCCTCAATCTTTGCGGCACCTGTTGCATTGAAAGTTGTGTCGCGCAATCACCGCCGTGGGCGATCCTCTCTTTCATCCACATATTGAATATCGCTGTCGTCATTCTTAGTGCCATTTGTATCTTGAAGTTTGGTCAGAACTCCACGTGATTGTAACACTTCTCAAAGTGCTGATGTGTGCCCTTCTAGAGGAGCTAATTTGTTTGCATCCAACATTCCCACCTCTGCTTGGTCAAGCAAGAGCTCATTGTGAGGCAAATTTTGAGGAGCCACAACAACAAAGTCAAGCAAATAGGAATGCTTCGAAAACGATCCATGGCTTCTGCTGAAATCACGCACAGGCATCTGTAATTTGCGGCATTCCTGATTCGTGAGAACCTAGTGATTCCAGACTGGCTGCGAAATCCGTCAGATGTAGAAAGAACAGCTGACTGTGGTAGCGCCAGAACATCCGGGCCATCAACGACGCAAATTGCATAACTTCAGGGACTCGGCCAAACAAGGCAGGCGGATAGTGCTTCCCCAACAATTCATAACGTTCATCGACTGTGAACTGTCAGATGACAAGTCAATTCCATTTTGCGAGATCGGATCATCTCACCTTTCGATAGGGTAGGTTCAACTGGAATATGCACAGAATCGCTCGTTGGACGACAATGGAGGGCGAGAAGACTAGCGATCATCATGATGCGCCAACGAGTCGGGAATTCCTGTGCAATCCTGACAGCTGATGTGTACTCATTGAGCGTTATAGATCGAGGACTGTCGGCAGCAAATGATGCGCGGCCTGAGTGAACTTCATTGGCAAGCCCGTTATCCCTGCGGCCCAGAGATCTTTCGCAATGCGGCGCCAATGCAAACAAATTTGCATTTATGACCTTGTCACAAGATAGCACTGTTGACCGGCCCTTGACGCGAAGCTGGCCTTGAGCAAGGTACTCGGCAAAGTCATAACAGCGGCCTTTGATATGGCTGCGGTACATGGCCTCGAGTCCACGTCTACTCCACGTTGTCTGAGACCCGTTGAACCTTATATTTTGAGTATCTGGAACTTTGGATTTGAATTCTTTCATGAGCGTGAGGTCTCTGACAAAAGTTCCAGATGGGAACATTGCGGTATCAAGAACGCATATGTAGATTTCATGTAACGATAGTCTTTCTCGCTTGTGCTTGTGGATTGCCAATTGAATGGCAAAAGCAAGCGAGGCTGTCCATGATATAAATACGCGATGGCGTATTGGCGTGTTGAACTGCCACCGTATGTGTTCGTTCAAGGCAATGGCGATACCCGAGGTGTCGTCTCGCGTGAATATATCATTGACCTTGGTATGTAAAGCAGCTTCCGATCTCATCCACTTGCTGCTATTCCATCCCGAACTGTCTCGAGAGAACACACGAAAAAGATAGCGGGGAACAAGGTTCAAATCCAAGTCTGAAGGATTGATGGGACAGAAGGGAACTTCGGTGGGACAGTTGTCGTCAAGGTCAAATTTGTAGTCGTAGTTCATGTCGTCTTATAAGTAAATTATGATTTCGCGATTTGCAAAGTGACAAGCTGGACAATGAGCGATTCTCCAAAGAGTTGCAAATGCACGAAGCTCTTGCAGCTGTTTTGACTTCCGACTGAGCTGAGATGGGGAGAAACTGGAGAAGAGACGAGAAACCGCGGGAACGGCTATCTTCGAGGTGAAGGGCAGAGCGTACTTATCTCGGAAGTCGCTAGTAGGTGAGACGTTCAGCCCGGCTATTCCGTATCCTCCTCATTTCTGCTACGTGTTCACCCACCTCGAATCTACAATACAAAACCTTAAAAGTATCCCCACACGGCATTAGCCTAGCAAGCACATCGGCAAGTATGTACTCTGTACATTATATGACGATATCTTCAAAACATCTTTAATCCACGAATTTCAACCAAACAAAATGGTAGAATTGCGCAAGTGCGTGAAACTGAGCTCTTCAGGCTATTGAGGTCTAGGACACATGAGGGTTGGCCTGGAGTTTGAGAAGCGGTGTGAGCCCTTGGTAATCCGGTATATATTTCCAGTGTTTTGCCCAGTGTTGTGTCCAGCATCAGAGGGGTCGACAGTGAGCAGGATTAGGGTAGATGGATAACCTGGGCGGTGATTGAGTGCATTGTTTCGATCATGCTCGTGAGCTCACAGGTCTCGCAGCTCTCTTGTTCCCCATTTCCCGCTGTCAAACACCGAGCGGTTCAGGCCGCCCG